CAGTCAACCAAAATTTATTTTACATCACGTGTTCACAATGACTGTCAACATTGTTCAAACGTTTATGAGCGTCTTCACTACTCTTTAACATGGACAAAAAACAAGAGTCTTATACCGCTAAATCAAAAGTCAGCCTATTAACAATAACTCAAAATTGAACACTTATAATACGGTCCTATACCGCTAAATCAAAAGTCAGCGTATTCATAACTCTTGAAATTGTTCATTTATAACACGTGAAGCACTACACAATACACTCACTTTTCAATACTAAAACATTCAAATCGCTTCGAGTTCAGTATGCACAACAGAAATTAATCCACATTTAAAGCGCACTGGATTATAAGGCGCACTGTTATTTTTTAAGAAAATCAAAGGCTTTTTAGTGCACCTTATAGTGCGGAAAATACGGTAATTGGTGATAAGTTATTGGGTTCTCTACTGTGAACACCTGTGAAAAATAATCATTAAACTCATTTACTATATCAATTTCATTTTCAATTATAAGGCCCTTACTATCCTGCAAATTAGTGATTTCAGCTTTTAGAGCTCTTTTGGAGTTAAAGTATTGGAAGAAACTTTTATTGTTATCCTTAGCCTCCAATGCAATTTTTCTTTCTACATCCCTCTTGGACAGTCTAATGTTATTTTTTAACTCTACCTGTAGACTGTCACCGGGCACAGAGCACACGAGAGAACGGGGTAGAATTCCTATTTTAAAATAAGTATAAAATGTGTTATAAAGCATTTGACCAATGATAATTAATAAAGAATTCAAGCATATTATCCCACACGCACGCAGACTATAGCAACAGAAGTGTGTTTTTCTTATAGCCCAGGTCAAAAATTTAGGATATTGTTTTTTATTATTTAAAAGAAGGTAGACATTATTATTTAATTACATTTAATAGGAACTAGTAAGCTGCATTTAAAATTATTCGCTAGGCAGATGTACCATACTGATACCCTGGCCTACGACCTACAAGGTAAAACAACAACAACAACAACAACAACAACAAATTTATTTTTGCATAGCGCATTATCACAACATTACATTGTCCCAAAGCGCTTTACAGCATCCCCACCCAAAGCCCCCAGTGAGTAAGCCATTGGCGACAGTGGCAAGGAAAAACTCCCCAGAAGGAAGAAACCTTGGGAGGGACCAGACTCAAACGGGGAGCCCATCCTCCATATGGCACCAAAGGGGGTTAATAGTCTTTAAAAGAATAAAATACATTACAGGTGTTTATTAACAAATCATTTAAATGTGTTTTAAGGGTAATAGCATTTATCAGTGTGCTTGTAATGGTGCTCTGGGCGCATCGATCTTTTCTAGCTAGAGACGAAAGAGGGTCTGGTGGTTTTAAATGGTAAAAAATTTAAAAATGTTGTTTGTTAACGTGTCATTTTGAGCAAATGTGCTATTTTATGTCAGTAAAAACACAGGCAACATGTTTAGACATGTCAGGCGGCGAATGGCCGCAAGCCCTCTATTATGTCATGAGCGATGTTTTCGGGGGGGGGGGGGGGGGGGGCGGGTGATAAAGCAACATGTCTATATAATCTTATAGACCTGGATCATGTCCCCCCTCAGTCTCCTTTGCTTGAGGCTGAACAGATTTAGCTCAAAATCTAAATCATCTAAATCATTCTAAAAGGATTTCTTCCCGTGCTTGCGCAAGACGGGAAGTGATGGTGAAACACCTCACTCTGTTATCAAAGAACCAGGGATTACATCAAGTAACCCAAAGTTCTTTTTCTAACTTTGCTCGGTGTTTCACTATGGGAGATATTGACCGCTCCCGGATTGCGCTGCAATCTCCCCAGACTGCAAACTATAAAGACGTACAGAAAACTGATTTCTCAGATCAGTTCTGCAGCGTTAACCTCCAGCACCGCATGTGCCACAGAGGGTCCTGAGACATCCAGCCTGTAAAAACGCACAAACATGTGTGGTGTAGCCCAGCTTGCCACATGAC